AAAAAAAAAAAGTGAAAACCTGACTTTTTAAAATGTGAAAGAAAATGTCTGGTTTCCTGTAATTTCCACTAATTAAGATTAGGTTGCTTCCAATGGCCCAACTAGGTTATATGATTGGTTTACCAAATTGTGGTGTCGATATACCTTCAATCATTTGGTCGATGCTGACTGAACTAAACAATATTTTCATCATCGCCCAGGGAGGTCGTTTGACAGCAATTTGTCTAACAACAACAAATAATGAAGAGTTTTTCAATGGACACAAACATATATCTTATCCACACATTTTCACAGAATTCAATCCAATTTCCAATCACAATCACATTAATAATTTCTCAAAAAATTAAAATTTACAACCATGTTGTTAATACCGTGACACTATCAATTTATTGTGCTTAAAAGTCGACTTTTAAACTCGATCAAACATTCTTCAATGTTAGTATAATTCCACTAGCATCTGGTAGATCCATCATATATATAGTCGAGAATAGCAATCACTCCAAAAACAAATGCCTGATCGATTCCTGGCTTTATCGAAACATGGTATAGATCCTTGCTTGTCATCACTTGCTCCAGCTCCTCCTGAACACCAACCTGCCTTGCCACCACTAACGAATTATCCATTAATCACTCGCTAAAACGAACTTATTTCTTACGTTGAACAGAATATAACTCGACTGTTACCTGTGCAATTGCGTCGCCCCTGGAATTGACAATGCTGCAATCTTTATCAGAGAAGTCACCTCTGATCTCAAAGTTGCCATAATTGCTCAACTCTTTTGACTCAATAGAGATTCTAATGGAATTTTTGTTTGATAGACACAAAGTATTAGGCTCTTTCAAGGTGAATACCAGCTTTTGAGACCCTAAAAAGTCATTTTTGTACCCTTTCCATGTCCTTGTGATACTAAGTGCTTCAACTATACCTCCCTGCAAAAAAAAAAAGAAAGAAAAAAACTCTTCTGATATCCATTATCCGGCACATAAACGACGATCCCAGTTCAAGAAATAACATACCTTTCGTCGTATAAGCAGCAAAGGATTTCCATTAGCATCCCTGAGAATAAGCTCTTCTTTTTTGCCAAGAATTCCACAGCCATCAACACTAAAAATGGCTCTTTGTTTACAATCTGTAACCACAAATCCTCCTCCATTTACCACATGTGGCCTTCTTCGAACAACAAGAACTACCTCAGATAATGAACAAAAGGCCTTGCTCACTATAGGAATCATGCTTTGTTTTGAAGCCATTTCTTTTCTTTGTATGTCTTACAAAAATCTTTTGTTTCATAGCGTCCCATAAGAGTAATCTATTTATACAATGTAAAAGTGCAAGTAATAGTGTGTATCTAAATTCAAATGTTTGGCACTATACGAGAAACTTCTCTAGTATAATACGCACAGCCAAACTTGTATAAATTGTCAAACGCGTCCAGAGTGAAAAATACGCTAATCGATGATGGGGTGATGGACCTAAAGAACGTGGGATAGAGCAAAACTGATACGATATGCGGTGAACCAACAAAAGCTAATTTGAATTTAGTCCTTATCGTATTGGTTCAAGAGAAATACCTTGTCAAGAAATTCAATAAAGGGTAACACACGCTTTTTGAAAAATTGGCTGCCTAATAACTTTAGGGAATATTTGGACCAAAAAAATCTTCTAGTGATAGAATGTATGCAATTTCCTCAACTGATTTTGACTATATTGAGTTGATCTTTTGGAGGTAGGGGTAGAGGTAGCTTGTTGAAATTGATTTCAGTTAACGTCTCAATCATTCTATAGTAATTTTCACATGATATTATTGATATTCTCGTGTCCACATTAGCAACAAAGCACGACAAATGGACACGTCGTTCTTATAGCCCGTTTGGTTCTGATTAAAATCTAAAAGGTAGGGGTAGAGGTAGCTTATTGAAATTTTCACATGATATTATCGATATTCTCGTGTCCACATGAGCAACGAAGCACGACAAATGGACACGTCGTTTAAAAATCAGATTTTTAATAGATTTTGAGACGATGCGGTTTGTAGAGAATTTAGGGAAATTAGAAAGACGTGTTTGAAAAGAGTTTGGGTGGAAAATGACTAGTGAGGAGTTGGAACATATATTATAATCATAAAGAGAAGAGGTTTATTGAACAATTTTTCTTGTAAGAATATTTTCTTGCTTCACGTATTGGGAAAGCTATAATTTGCAATAATAAACGTTTAAACAAACATTGGGGGTTATTTTCTACAAAAACAAAAATATCGGATAGAGGAGAATGAGTGTTACTACTTACTAGTCTACTTTTTTTTTTTTAATTATTTTCTTTATTTATTTGTTTTAAAATCGCATTAAGACTAAAATAGTCATTTTATGTAGAATCTGACCTTTTAGCAATCAACCAAACAGAATTATTGGTGCAGACATTTGAAAAGTTTGACACTCTTGGTGCTAGAAATTAAATGTTTAAGACACCATCGTCATAATTTTAGAAGGTTCAGGATCTCAAGTACAATTTATCAATTTAAATTTTATCCACATTTGATTCAGATAAAATTCAGATTTTTGATAGATTTTGATAAAAGTTAATTCAATATTCGGCTAAAAAGTTGTTGAATATGTGATCCAAATTTCGGCATTGGTTCGTGTCTTTGTTGAAAAATGAGTTAAGAAAAGGAATAAAAGTTGACAATGGAAAGTTTAGAGTAACAACTGGGCACCTAGGCGCCAAAAAATAAATTTTGGAACTGAAACATAGCGCTTGAGAGCCATTGGCAGCGTTGGGTTGTCGCTCGCTTGGCCCCAGGTTACCACTCGAGCTCCGCGCACCACTCGTCTGTGTGAGGCTGCTGCTCGAACTACGGTCTTATTTGGGAAAGTTTTGTTTCCAGTTTTTTGGTTCCTTTTTTATCCTCTTTCTATTTAAAACATATCTTTTTGGGTCTTATATATACTCCATGAAATTCTTGACTTTCATATGTCTTCGAATGATTTTTAGAGAGTTAGACAATATTGTAGATATAATATTATTGTATTTTTCCCATATTAATAAATTCTGCATTCCTCTACCAACTGTTCTTATGTTCTTCTAGTGTTGGAATTGTTACTTCATGTTATGTCATATAGGGTGTGTTTGAACCACATTATTTTGAAAGAATATATTTTGGAATAATATATTGATGGAGAATGTGTGGCTGAAAAAGTTATTGATGTGATGTAAAATATTATTTTATTGAAAAATGTGTGATTGAAAATGAGTAGAAGAATAAAAATGAGAATTTTTGTCGTTCCTTAATTCTTAACCGCTGTGAATTTCATAAATTGTGTGGTTAAAATTAATTGTTAGACCTTTTTAATTGTATCAAATATGGACTTGATATAAAAAAAAAAATTAAAAGAGAAATGTGTATATAATATTTTTTAAAATGAAATGTATATTTAATTATTTAACATAATGCTTAATTAAGAGGAAATTAAACTCACATGTATTTTTTGACCTTCAACATAAAAAATAAGGTTCCAAAAATAAGGTAGTGGTGAAGTGGCGATGGTTGTTGATACAAGTGGTGGTGGATCTGAGACAACAATGACGTTTTAGATGGTGTCAACGGTGGTAGAGCGGGTGGTGAGGTGAGGGAGAATAAGGGACCATTTTATCAACTAATTTGATAATTTGTGATCGAAAAATAAGTCGTGATCAATTAATTTGATAATTTGTGACTGATAAATAAGTTGTGACTTATAAAATTTACGATTTGTCACTGTGATATTATGTGATTGCGATAATTAAATAATTGTAACCATAAATTGTATGTTAATGTAACTTAGCATATTTACCTAGTAAGACACTTTTAATTAATATCGCCTGAATTTTGAAAATTTGTTAAGTTTGAAAGTATATTTTTAAAGATAGATAGTTATGTGTTTTCTCTTTAATTAACCAGAAGGTCCAGTATCCCTTAACCCAACTTGACCCGTTCAATTACTGACTTAATTCGGCCTGTCTTGTACAGGACAGAGCCAGGCCCGATTATTGGGAAAAAATCAGGAGCCCGATTATTTTTTCTGAAAAAAACTGTAAAAAGTAAAAACGAGAATGATGGTACAATTAACAGCGCAACCCAGCAGTCACGTGTAATCTGATGTACAATGTTCCCCTCCCCTTAAATCGACTCTCTGCCATTCTACGCAATCTCTTAGGGCGTGTTTGGTGGAGATTAAAATTGAAAAATTAACTGTTATTGTTGACTTTTATTAGATGAGTGAGACCAAATAACGGTCATATTTTCAATTTTAATTGGATTTTAAGTTGTACCGAACATGCCCTAATTTCTTTCTCGATAAACCCTTTTCAAACGACCTCCTTCAAGTATTTTTTTCTTTTAAGCCATCGTTATTTTCAAAAGATATTTTTATTTTTTACTTTTGATTACACATTGTTTAATAAAAATAATATTACAAACAAATCGAATTTTTTTTCATTTTTTAAACAGAAATTTTTCATTAAAATACATTTTGAACAAAAAAAGACTCAAACAAGCACTAAGCCTTCGTCTGACAACTTTATAAATGATTATAAATAAAAAATTAGTAAATTTCGCAAAATGTATGAATAATAATAAATAATAGTCATAAATCTTTAATTGAAATTAATGTTTACTTTTTTTGATTGAATTTATAAACCACACTTATCAAATGGAGGCTAAATCAAGTTCGATCAAGGAAATTGCACTTGGGAAGAGGTTCGATTGTTGTCTACCTTCCATAAAATCGACCCAACACATTCAATGTGGATAACTCCATTTTAAAGTGAAACTTATCATTCTTTCGTCTAAGGATGTCTAATGGCCACACCGATCATTTGGAAAAGTAGACCTCTTCGACAACGTAGTTCATCTAGGGCAAATGCCTCCTAAAGAGCATAAGAGGTGTGTGAAGATAGGCTAAAGGAAAGATTCTGCTCGTAAGCGTGATGATATAAATCTCTATGATTGTGAGACAAATTAATCGAACATAGATGAAAGTCGACTATAATGATCCGGGATTCCTATGTGAAAAGGCTTTTGACAAACGCGACAAGACTTAGTCTGAAACAACCTATGCTATTTGTAGGTTAACTATTTTATTTTAGACATACTTTATATTATTTAATTATTAAATTCATTCACATTTTATTTTTTGTGTCAAACTCATACAAGACCAGTCCTTTTCGCATGACATGAGCTATTGAAATTGAATCCATATCAAATCATTCAAAGCTCAATTTTTATTGCTCCTGGCATTGAGCAGCAAAAACTTCTGGGTTCTCATATTAATTTTCCATTCTCATAAACCCCATAAAACAGTAAATTATAGGTTGGTCATCGGTGAAATAAGTTAACAATTCATTTACTCATATAGGCATTTCCACATAAACTTTTGTATATAGTATTTAATTATGTATTTATAGTAGTTGTACTGGTAGCTCTGTGACCTCTGTCATGGTTTGCTGTTATAGTGGCTCTGTGGCAGAACTTTCAAGGCCTGAGCTTTTTCTGTGTCTGCACCTCGGAATTATCCCAAAAGTCATAAATCCCAGTAATAATTTCCTATCTTGTTTCCTTGCAAGTTTCAGTTTTCCATTTTCATTGCTTACCCATATTTGATTTTTACCTCTTTGCCTGTCGTTTTTCCCAATATATATTTTGAGTAGTGTTCAGTATTTATAAAGGGCAAAAAAAAAAAATAAAATTGGTGGAACAAATATTGTAGAAATGGGTGATTCAGTCGGCACTGGTTCAGGGCCACCGCTCCCGCCGCCGCTGCCCAAGTCGCCGCCGCAGTACCCTGATTTGAGTGGGAAACGTCGAGAGTTAGCCAAGGTTCAGCTTCTGGAAAGAGAGATTAGTTTTCTTGAGGTGAGTTTGAAGTTCATCTCAACTTTGTTAGTGCCATGTATTTTCTTCTCATTTCAACTTCTCACTCACCTATATAAGCTACAAAAATAGGCTTTATAATTCAATGGGCTTTAATTGGAAAGGAAAGTGACGAATTAGACCATTTATAGTTTCAAGCTTCAAATATAGAGTACTAGATGCATGCAACTTGAATTCAAATATGCTGTGTTTATACATTGAACACCTCGTCGTCTAAAAGGTTAGCTCTTCTCAGAGAGGAACATATATACAATTGTCCCGTGCGGGCTAGATTGTCATTTCGTCATAGGCTTGACACGCGTGCAATTTTCATAAATGGGCAGTGGCGAGAGTTACATTTAGAAA